ATTTAGAAGAGTTCCTGACTGTTTACAGTTCAGAGAGGTTAGGCTTGGTTTTATTTTCTGGTTTATGTACATTTTTGAGTTATCAATACAGTATAGTGTTGGTCCACTAGTTAGGGGCACTAGTTTAATTGTGGCAGTACTCTGTCACGGTGCTGTGTGGTCATGCGGGTGACCCATAATGCTTTGCGGTTGGACAGGGCGTGGTTTGTTGTGCGTTTGGTGGATTGGTTAGGCTGTAGAAATGACTGAAAAACTAATGGAAGACAATGCAAAGTCCCCACAAATATAGACGAACCAACTTGTGTGTGTCTATTAGCAAAAATATCTAATAAACCACTGAACAAATTTTAATAACCCTTGCAGACAGTAATCACTGGATGTGTACTAGAGGTCTTCAAACCTTGACACACCTGATTCAAATAATGAAATGACGTACTCGAAGCCTGTCAATCACTCTGTCATTTCAGTGAGCTGTGCTGAAGCAAGGAAACACAAAACAGGAGTGGGTCACGAGGAACAGGGTTGAAATCCTCTCATCTCCATCTGATTGACATTTGGAGTCAACCCAGTTCATCTGACTTTACGAATCACAAATCGGGCTACAATTCAGGCATTTTCACTGATATTGTGCAAAAAAAGAAATGGGTGCGTTGAGAATCATTTACAACACAGTCTCATCTCTCATCATGTCACATCAAATTATTTTTAGGCTTGACCAAAACTGACTCTAACTGATTTCTCAGCACAAGATGATCTTTGTCTTCACACTGAAACAGGCAGARTGCATTCCTTCAAGTAATGCTAGACTTTAATTTGATTTTATGCTTTTATTCATTTATGCCAACATTTCTGAGCATCAGACTTGTAAAAGAGATAAGATCTGATGAATGTAACTTCACAAGTCTCTCTGTTTGTGAACTGGAGGTGGTGTTCAGCTCTGATTAAACAGCACCAGAGACAGAGCTGAGATTGAGTAGTCATTGTTTGCTTGCAACAGAGTCCAGATCTGAGATTCAAAGGAGTGACGCTGCATTTTTCTGCCTCTGACCTTTGACCTGAAGTCAGACTGTTTTTTTTTCTTGAGCTTTTTTTTTCAGACTCATCAGCTGGATCATTAAAACACAGCTGAGTTTAATCAGACCATCTGATCAGGATCTGGGTCCAAACAGGGCTGGGTTTGAGAGAGGGAGTCAGGCGGAGCTGGGMTTAAATGCTCTTTCAGGTTGTGTGTGGTCAGAGCAGCTGAGGGGCAGTGAAGTGAAGAGGACAACGGAGACAATGATGGAACTTCTTGGAGACGCTGTGGCCAAAGTCGGTGGTCTGGTCACCGGAGCTCTGAATTTCTTCACCGACTTCTTTTTGACTCCACCGCTGACGGCAACTCTTCAATACTTAGAAACTGCTGAACTGAAGACGTTGAAAGGAGGTAGGTTTTTATCCCCATTTGAAACACTTTAATACATTTCTTTCCTTTGTTAATGCCTGAAGTGTTCAAAAGGGTCTTTGTTTAACTGGAACTTTAATCTCTTGCCCAACTCTCACCCTTTCACCTCATTTCACTCAGAATCCAAAACTTTCAAAGCCAAGACTCTGTGGGAAAAAACTGGAGCTGTTATCATGGCAGTGCGCCGACCGGGGTGATTTTTGTGCAGAGAGGTATATCGCATTATTTCCCCAAGCTTTTTGCACATTTTCCTATTCTTTCTGAAATCCTTTTAAGATGTCTGGAAATGTTTAAACTTCACTGAAGTTAAACATGTTTGTGTGAACCATGTGTCTAAGAAGATGTTTAACTTTTTTCTATTGTTGCTCTAAAGTTAAATATTAATTCTCAAAAAGGGGATTAGTTAGTCTAAGTGTCACTAAAAAGTCAATAAGTCTAAAAGTTTAACAAGAGCTTAGAAGTGCAACCAAAAAATACTGAATGCATGAAATTTAAAGACAGTTTAAGAGTTGATGTAAGGATGATTATCTCCATCATTGAAAACCAAAGGTAGATAAGTGTCAGCAAAATATCTTAAAACCCACTTGATGGATTTTAATACTTTCAGGTAATAACTGAACATCTAATCATCACATATAGCCAACTCAGTTTTACAGATAATGAGCGAGGCTTTGCTGTAATGGCATGACATCACATGTTGCACATCGTGTTATTTTYAAGTCTGTTTCTCAACAAGAGATGATTTTAGTCTAATGCACATTTCAAACTTTTAAATGAAAGTAATGCTAGAACTTAAAAGTGTCTCATCCTGCAGGAGGCCGCAGAGCTGTCCTCTCTGAAACCCCAGCTGGACCAGCTCGGGGTCCCTCTTTATGCTGTGGTGAAGGAGGACATCGGCACGGAGGTCCAGAACTTCAGACCCTTTTTCAAGGGTGAGATTTTCCTGGATGAYAAGGTGGGTAAAATTGTATAATAAATTAAACACTAAAGTCTTTTTAGTATTTGTGGAAAAATCTGTTCAGGTCCTCTTGACTGACTGACTTTGCTTTGCAGAGGAGGTTTTATGGGCCCCGGGAACGGAAGATGGGGCTGCTGGCGTTCGTGCGTCTTGGAGTGTGGATGAGCGGCGTGCGAGCCTTCAGAAGAGGCTTCATCGGAAACGTTTCGGGAGAGGGCTTTGTGCTCGGTGGGGTTTTTGTCATCGGACGAGGCCAACAGGTAAAACCCACAAGAATGAAGCTAACAACCAGTGCGTGTTTTTTTTTTTATAAAATGTTTTGTTTTATTTTTGCAGGGGATTCTCCTGGAGCACAGAGAAAAGGAGTTTGGAGACAAAGTCAACATTTCAGACGTCCTCCAAGCTGCCAAAAGRATCCCATAGGAACATTAGAGACTCGAGCTGCTCAAGTGTTTGTCTCTGAGAAACAAAAGTGCATTTTGTRTGAGAGATCATAAAGGCTTTGGGTGTGTTCATGATGGTCTGTTTTTAAATGCAACAAAAGGAGCAGACCTGATGTTTAACACAGTTTCCTGTATGACTCAAATACATTTGTATCTTAGGAGCTGAGAGGTGAACATTTCTGACCAATAAATCATGTCCTTGTCTTCAAGTTTGCTTTTATTCCTCATAACTGGAATAATGTTGCACAGAAATGTTAGTCATTGAATTCCTCTGGCTGGAGATTGGAYTGGATTTTTTTTTTCTTCTTCCCCCAAAAAGTTATTTTGAGTTCCATTTTTCTGCAGGAGTTTCTTCCCCACGTGGGATGAAATTGATACAAATGCAGACAAAAAGCTAGCAACTCTTAACTGTCCCAGCTACAGTTCAGTTTTGGGCCTTAAAGGCCATCAGCAGGGGATTCAAGCTGTGGGTGACAGAAGTCAAGGTTCTGAGCATAATCTACCCATCATGACAAAACATCAGACAGGAATTTTAGTCCTTTTTAAAGTTTTTCTTCATTTTGCAGTGATGTGGGGATATGGATGGTTGTATGAAAAGAGTATGTTCAGGATGTCATGTGGGGTAAATACAAGTGTGCATACTTCTGACAAGCAGACAAGTAGCTGATAATTGGTTCCACCCAGCTACACAAGTTCTGAGGAGCGCTAGATCCCAAAAGCCAAATATTTTCAGGGAAATTCTGGAAAATAAAAGTAGAAAGAGGAGAGGAATCAAATCTGTGGTAAGCAGAACATGGAGATCACATGTCCTTAACATGGGACATTACTTCCTTTTGTAAAGATCCAGAGTTGTGTGTCAGAGGGATTTGGATGCTCCCAAAGATGTATGTTAAGAGAAGATAAATCAGGCCAAGTACAATCAACTTWAACATTTAACACCGGCAGGTAAATGTTTCTAGGATGAATATTTTTACATTAAGTTGTGCTTTTAAAGAATGATCAGACCTGGTGTCTAACAACTCTTATCACTGCCCATTCATTCTTTAGGTTTAACACTCCCAAACAAGTTAATAACAATCAAAAAAAGTTTTACAATCTTTTTTAATGTCCTTTTCAGAAGCTCTTGAAATAACTGCATTAAATCTTGTAAGACTTTCTCCTCAAAATGAGCAAACCCACTGAACAAAAGACCCCCCGTGGTGGAGAATCACTGCTTTTGTTTTACTGAACCTAAGGTTTCTCCTGCCGTTAAGAGTGTGACCCTTTCTCTCTTGGCATGAAACAAAGGATGTCGTTGCCAAATGGAGAAACCGCCACACGGGCAGAGAGAAAGACRAGGCTCAATCAGGAAGTGGCAGCTTTTTGTCCGTGCCAAAGGAGTCGAGCAGTTTCCTAGTCTGGTATCCAAGGTTACTGGATGCTCAGCCAGCTGGTGCAGTGGGCAGCTGTGGGTGGGATGTGGATGGCAAACTTGACTTTAAATGTTTTAAATTTTTTGACATTCTAATTTGAACAAAAGGATTGAAAAATATGGAGCTACAATACAATCCCAAGTTTGTGATGCAACAGAAACAGTGACCARCTGTGTCCTTTGGAAAGAAATATAACAAAAGAATCAATGATTTTTGTGCATTTGTGTGGTTTAACTTMAAATATTCATGTTTATACATTTCCTCTGCTGCAAACTAGTCAATGATGATATTTTAGTATTTTTTATGTAGAATTGTATTCAAATGTATGGCTATGTGGGAGGCTTTACGCCATAAACATGAATGAGCATCAACTTATGTGTTCCTGTGACTTGATTAGATGGATTGGTGGGTGTTCTGGGGCTTAAGTGGATCAAACTAGTAGAGAATAAACACAGCTGGGGACAAATTGCTGGTGGGTCTGCAGCTGAGTACACCCCCAACACATTTATAGTGTGTTTGTTCAGGGGATGTGCTCTAATCTTCACACTGCAGAGACTTCACAGAGGCTGTGATGAAAGTGACCCTGTCCACATTCACAGTCATGCTGATTACGCTGTTGCTAAACTTGAAAGACTTTTGTGCCAAATAGGCTCATTGAGGTCATTTATCGATGCCACCGTGGGTGGGAAGTCTCTGTGATAGTTTGTTATAATTTCTTTAAAATGGTCTGACTCCTCCCTGAGGATGACACATACTGTGTTTCCAGAAATCTGTGATGGGTGCTACTTTCATTGGTGTAGCACCACAGACACTGTAATGTACTTGTGGTACACATACTGTATTTATTATTTATTATATATTATCTGACTGGCTGTTCACTGATGGCTTCTGTCATTCTCAATATTCTGGCTTGGTTGGGTGTGGTTCAAGTAATTATCTCTAGAGCTTCATGGTTTTTAATTAATCATAAAAACTTAGGTCTTAAAACCTATATACTTATTACTTTATGCTACTGTTTGACGTACGAGTGTTTTTTTTAATTGTGGAGTGCCATCTGCTGGTGGTCCGTCTGTCTTGTTATACAAATAACCCCACTAAAAACACATACATTTTTAGATTGCATAATATATGATTTAGGTAATGTTAAGAGTTTTTTTTTTGTTTTAGAAATTTTCAATAATGTAGTTATTAAATAATAGAGTCTATACTTCTGTATTATTGGCACATTTTCACTTTAAAAATAATTCACCTTGTTTAAAGTGTAAAGTGTGTGCTTAAGAAGTATAATCCAATAATCTTAAATTATATGTTACCTTTTTTTAATCTGTTTTATCAAAATTTTATTAGGGCTGTTGCCTATCGGCTTCCGTAGATGTCACGTAAAGAGTCCTTGACGTCAGCATAACAACAACCTGGTCATGACATCTCTTACTGGAGAAAAATCAATAGATTAAGACTTTATATCAATATAAATAGAATCACATTCACCTGAATGTGGGAGTCATCAAAAAAGGTGAGTGTTTGATACAGTGAGTCTTGAGAATTAGCAGTAATTTCCACGGAAACGAGCGGCTGTGCGCTACGTGAAAAACAAGCTAACTTTAGCATTAGCTAATTTATGTTTTCTCAGGTGTTAGGCGGCGTTCTGWTCTAGATGTCCTTACGACAGACTAGGGCTTCAGAAGGTTACTATTTTATGTCAGAAGGTGTTTTAATGGTGAATTCTGTAAATACATCTAGGTTTGCTGAGTTGTCGTACCCACCGACCCCCGGTGTGAAACCACTGCACAAATAGCTTAGCTAACTTAGCTTAGCTCCGTTGTCTTGTCTGACTAAAGTGTATTTTATTGTGCCACAATAGCTGCTTTGATAGCTGTACCTCAAGTGGTCCTGCGCAGAGGGTTGTTTGTTTACCCACCGTTTTGTAAATCTGCTGTAAAGTTAAACTCAAACTTCTGTYCTAACTAGCTCGGTGGGCGGCTGCGCTGCTCATTTAGGCACCGCCGAAGTCCGTTCATCTGAATAGTTAATTCAGTCTAGACACCTAGCTGTGTTTTTTTCAGCAGTGCGCACAGTCAGCAAATTAAACCTTTTGGGTGGCATTGAGCAGCATTGCACCTAAAAAAAGACGCGCATTGCAGGTGCGCTGCAGTGACCCTGGAAAAGCCTTGTATCTTTGCTTTGTCAGTGTGGGCGATCCGGGACGGGCGGGACATTCTGAAACCTGACATCTAGCCAGCCGAAGAGACGGGGAACAGGATTGGGAAGCAGGGCGAGGCGGGCCCCGCGGAGCCGGTGGAGAAGATGGCCGGCAGCCCGGAGAAGAGTTCCACCGCGCAGGAGCTGAAGGAGCAGGGGAACCGGCTGTTCCTCTGCCGCAAGTACCAGGAGGCTGCGACCTGCTACAGCAAAGCTATTGTGAGTAGCTGTTATTGTAACATCAGTGAAGAGGATGCTGGAGTTTTAGGCTGTACCAGGGACCGGAATGCAGCAGTGCTCTGTATTATTCCAGATGTGTGTTTTCTGGTATTTTTATTTTTATTTTTATTTGTCCCACAGAACCGTAATCCATCAGTGGCAGTGTACTACACCAACAGGGCTCTCTGCCATGTGAAGCTGCAGCAGTACGACAAGGCTCTGGCAGATTGCAAGCACGCTCTGGAGCTGGACAGTCAGTCGGTCAAGGCCCACTTTTTTCTAGGCCAGTGTCACCTGGAGCTGGAGAACTACGATGAGGCCATCGGCAACCTGCAGAAAGGTTAGAGGAAGCTCTGAAAAAGAGGTCAAAATGTGTCAGAAACCGTCATTGTGGAGAAGATCTTGTCTCACAAGTTGCRTAATCTTGCTTACAAATTTCCTCTTTAAGGTTTAAATGTACACGACACGTTTCCTCGTGTTTGAGATCTTTTTTGCTGTTGTTGCTGGTGGTCTTGGGGRGTCAAAGTACTTTGTAGAACAAAATGAAGTGGATGCGGCTCTTTATTCTATTTCAAGAAATTAGCTTAGAAAAAAGAAGCTCAGATGTGTAAAAAAAAAAAGAAGTAATGAACAACAGAATTCAGAGAGGTAGAATTATGAATATGCCCTCTTTAGGCTATTGCTGCTTGTATTTTCAGGGCTCTAATCTTAACATTTGATATCAATAATGCCATCCTCCGTCTGGATGATGTTTAAAGCTCATGCACGACAAACAGCAGCACAGCTTCAGTTGTAGGTTTTTTTTGCAGGTGTTGACATGTTTTTACTGGGTTTTAATTTGCAAAAATACCAAACTGATGTTTTCTTTTAAAGGAAAAGTCAAACAGCAGAGTTAATATATACTGTATGTTCTTGTTAAAATTTATTTCAATGTGTTGTTACCTGTCTGAATAAGTTACTGCCTCACTGTAATCACCAGTGAGCCGCGCACTCCTGAACCTTTTGTTCAACGTTCAACGTGATTCTTACATTTAGTAAAAGGCAACTTCTGCATCGGAATGTGAGACGGAAAGGACTTCAGTTGGATTCAGCTTTCAATTTCTAAATTAGTTTTGCCATCAAACAGAGCATCAAACACAACAACTTTTATTTCTTTACAGCATTTTTGCCACATAAAACCAAATGAGCCAAAAAATAAAAAGTGTTTGCCTTTTTCAGTTTGAAATCTACTGTTGTTTTCTTGTTTTATCATAAGTTTGACACTGTAATAGCCCAGAAGGTTCTGATCTTTCTTTTATTTAGAAAAACTGTAACCAGCTGATTACTAACGGATACAGTTTTTGACAGATACCCTGCATCGTAATGATGAGAACTTTGTGTTCATGTGTTGGTTTAAAGCCACATGCAATCATCCTCCTCAGAGCCTCACAACAAGCTTTATAACCAGGGTTGACATTTATAACAACCCTTTAAACCAAAGCTTAAATATTGTTATACATACCAGACATTCTGTACGAGCAGCATTTTGGTAGAAGATTAATACATTTTGTTACATTTATTGTTAGACACTATCTTCCTACAGTTCATTTTGCCAGAGAGCTGTTTCTGTATGCATCTTCTGTGGATATCTCTGCTCACTATAATCCGAAGTTTTTATTGTTTTTATTATTTGTCAGATTTACTTTAAATACTTGAAGAACATTTGTTTAGAGATCTTTTTGTAAACAGAATTTTACAAAAAACGTCTTATCTAAGTTTTGTTCGACTTCTTATTCTTTCTTTTTTTTTGTTCATTTAATTTGTAGCTTATAACCTGGCAAAAGAGCAAAGGATGAATTTCGGAGACGACATACCCAGTGCGTTGCGCATTGCCAAGAAAAAACGCTGGAACAGCATCGAGGAGAAGCGCATCAACCAGGAGAAYGAGCTGCACGCGTATCTGACCAAACTCATACTGGCTGAGAAGGAAAGGTGAGGAAGCAAGACGCTTTTCTCACCGCTGCAGATTCTTTGAATCTCCTTTTTTATGAAATGAGCTTGGTTTGCAGTTCTCCAGGTCATTTYTATACGTTCAGACTGAGTGATTAAATGTATTTTTTTTTTTTTTTGGCAGAGAACTTGAAGAGTACAGAGAAAAACAGGATGACAATCAAAACACAGGAGATGCTGCAAAGATCGCATCAAAACATGTAGGTCGTTCTGCATTTATTTTCAATCATATTTGTTTGGCGCACTTTAATAAAACCATTGTCAAAATATTACGTGTAAACAAGAATTAATATTGGAACCTGGTTTGAATTTCATGAAATGTGACCGGCTTACAGGACAAGTATTTAGTGGACATGGATGAGCTGTTCTCCCAAGTGGATGAAAAAAGAAAAGTGAGTTGTTTTTMTTACATTTTATTTCATATTGTAAAACATTACAGTTTGTAGGAGCATACTCATTAGACAGCATAGAAACCCAGGCAGGCTCGTGAACAACATTTACCTCTGCAGTTCTTCTCTTTTACAGCTTCGGCTCTAAGCCTGGTGAAATTGCTTTCTTCCTTAGGACAGTTATTTTATTTTTATCCTAAGCTGTTGCTGTGGTAACCGTTGCTTTTTGTTTGCCAAGTTTCTTGTCGGAGATGATTGTTGACTTCACTGAGTTAATAGAAATAACAGTGTTGATTTAAAAAAAAAAAAAAACACAATGGCGTCTGTCAGCAGGGTGTCTTCTATTGTAGCTCTGTGACTCAAAACTATTGGTGCAATTTTTATTTTAGCCACTGTCATGTTTACATAAATCCTTGATTACAACCCCTGGCAGAAAGTAGGGAATCACCAGTCTTGGATGAGCACTCATTCAAACATTTCATTCTGTAAAACAAACTCAGATCAAAAACATGATACAATAATAAGGTCATTCCAAAGAGCAACTTGCTGACTTTCAGGAACACTCAAAGAAATGAAGAGAAAACATTGTGGAAGTCAGTGTTTATTGACCATTTTATTGCTTACCACTAAAAGGCAAAAGATGAGTCATCATGTTTTTTTTTTGTGCATGTGTTCGTTTATTTTTGTGTTAGCAAAATATCACCTCTAGATAGATTTTAATTAAACTAATAGAAAGTAAACATTGGATGCTTAACATTTGGATGATAAACATTTATACTGAACCTTCAGTTGTCCCCCTCCTACAGCGCTGCTATTGCCAGTGTCACTC